GCTCATGCCTTTTACATTATCTGAAATAATATATTTCCTCACTACTTGTATCTGAAAATATCTACTATCTCTCACTGTACATTTGAGATGTGACCTCTTGTATGAGGCTGTCTCTGATTCTTCCAGCAGTAATACCCAGCTGACATTTACATCTTGCTTAATACCATACCATCGAATATTGAATTTCCAATATGACAGTCACATTTGAAATTATCTCAAACTTTCTTCTAGGGAAATGTTAGCTTTTCTTGGATAACAGCTTCTGAAAATTAGGGAGTAATCTTTATAACCCATGTAGTACCTAACCATAAAATAAATAGTAAATAAATATTTATTAACTGATACTCAAGAGGAACATTTATATACATCAATGAATGCTTTATCATATGTTGGTGAAAGGTCACCATTCATTACTTTTGTTCCTCTCCTTTCATATTAACAATTGCTAAATAATTATAAAGATAAAATAGACAAGGTTTTGCTGTTGTCTTGTTTTGTTCTTGGTACATGCTAAATAAGGTTTTGCTGTTGTCTTGTTTTGTTCTTGGTACATGCTAAATATGTGCTCTACCACTGAGCTATACTGTAGACCCAAAGATTTTTTAAATTCCATTTCTCAGATAATTGTAATAATTAGAGTCTAAAAATACAAATAGTATTATAATGTTGAAATGGTGAAGTATTTGCAAAAATACAAATAGTATTATAATGTTGAACCAATGGGGTTGGTGGGAATATCACAATTTAAAGAAACAAAAGGGATAATCATTCCAGGAAGAAAGTTAACAGACATAAAATATGAAATGGCTCAGTGGTGACAAAATAACATGATGATTATTTGGGTAAAATATTTAGATATTTTTACTTTTCAAGATCTGAAAGCATCTCAAAATATATATTTATTTTCATGACAAAGAAGAGAAAAAAGCAATTGATGACATTTTAACTTGGAGTTTTGCTCAATTAATTACCAGGATTTAAAAAAAAAATGGATTGTCTTTTACCATTATAACAAGGAAAAGGTCAGCTCAAAAATAATGGAAAAATGGATGCCAAAAATGAAGACTTTTAGTTTTAGAATTTTGTTACATAAGTTATTAGGAAGTGTTCATGTTTTAAATTTACCCAGTTAGGTTTAAGACCTTAGGCAATCCACTCTTGGACCTCTGTAAATATGTATAATTAAGCAGACTTTAAGACCTCTTCCAGATTAGACATATTTACATCAGTAAATATGAAAAATGGAGACAGATGGATAGGTGTAGGCAACAATGGGCAAGAAGATCTGGTAGATCTTGAGGCAAGATTGAGGATAAAGTAGAGTATTGCTGATCATAATGAATAAAACATCATTCTAGAAATTTAGGAAGATGTTATTAGCACTATATTATCCTCTGAGGATTCATATACCTGGGTTTGATTTTTTAGTAAACTGGGTAATTTTTATCTGTGATATTTGTGATTGCAAAGTATCCTATTGACATATTTCTTGTGGCTTAGTCTTTCTTTCTTTAAAAATAATCATAGGACTATACGTAGTAAGATTTTTGTGTTTATATTTTAAAGAGGTAATTATTATAGATAAAGGAAAAAGTATGAATTTTATAGCTTCTTGAGCAAATCATACATTTTGGCTAATATTAATCCTGTTTCCTTTGACATATCATCAAGGGAGCTGACAGGTAGTATTATACCCATCAATTGAGGCACAGAGGCAGTTATTGATGTGATTATGGGGCAGAATTTTGAAGAGGCTGAATAAGAACAAAGAAGGTGACTACAATAGACTTCAAGTCTCTTGTCTTAAAAATTTTCAGTGCTTTTTTCCAAAACATAGCTGGATATATTACATTTCTTTACAGTGGATACGTTCTAAAACACATTCCTGTTTTCTAAAAAAAAAAAGAAAGAAAAAAAAAAGAAAAAAAAGGTAGAACTGAAGAAATACAAGGCTGAAATAGACACAGTCCATTTAACCCAGAAGGGACCCTCCAGCATTAATTTAGGGCTAGGAGGAAGTGGGCTATAGCAGAGGTGGAGAAGACAGCAGATTTGGAAGGTCACAGGGAAGCTTCCATTGGTAATGTTCTCAAAAGTTCCACCTGAGAAGCTAGGAGTAAAGTGGAATGTGACTTTTAGTTCCATCCCTCCAAATACTGAAAAGACATTTAAATCCTCTTCGAATATTCTTGGATGCATTGGAAAAAGTTATAACAATATATGGATACAAAATTCATAATTGGTGATTTAGGTTATGAGAAGAAGAGATTATGGGGGTAGAAAAGATGATGGGATGAGACAGACATCATTAACCTAAGCACATATACAAAGACATGAATGGTGTGAGTCTACTTTGTGTACAACTAAAGATATGAAAAATTGTGCTCTATATGTGTAATATGAATTGTAATGCATTCTGCTGTCATATATAACAAATTAAAAGAAAAAAATGGCAAGTGTAATATGTAGAACACCTAGTTAGAGCTATTTAAGAAAAATATTTGCCTGGATTTCTTATTTTAGGAATCAGATACCAGCTATCAATATTAGTATCTACAAACATAGGAAGATCTTTAACTCCAAATTTCATAAAATAACACAGATTTATTTGTGGTGATCAAGCTAATACTCCAAAATGAGCACTGTTACACAGTTCACCTTAGCTGCATGTAAAATATTTGAAGATAATAATTATAAAAGAGTTTCTTTTTTTTTAAATGAAAAAGATAGTGAAAACTTAATTTTAGCAAGGCATGATGGTGCAATTTTGTTATACCAGTGACTTTAAGGGGATCTCAATTTCGAGGCCAGCCTCTTCAACTTAGAGAAAGTCCATCTCAAAATAAATAAATTAATTAAAAGGGAACTTGGGTGTGTTCAGTGGTGGAGTACCCTGGGTTTAGTCCCCAGTACTGCACAAACAAAACAAAACTAAAACCTTCATCTCAGGTGAAGATCCTGAATCTGATCTTCGCTGCCTTGTTTCTTGTCTCAGATATTCTACTTGTTTCTGGAATGTCTGTCTCTTGCTTTAGATTCCTAATTACTAATTGAAAGTCTTTGTGTACTCCTTTTCAAAATGCCATCTTCGTGTACTGTGGGTTTATTTCTTCAATTTGCTCACCAAAATTCTGGCTGCAAACTGAGTCTTTCTGTCCTGCTTGTCCTCTAATTTGACACTGTGTAGTGATGAATGGACTACAGCTGTGTTCATGTAGTGGATGTTAAACCCGCTTCCGAGCTGCATTCTTTGGCATAGACTAGGAGGTCTGTGCAGATTCTCACTGTTGTAGAATTATGATGTTTCTTGTGCAACACACACACACATACACACACACACACACACACACACGTGTCTTTCAATAATTAAGCTGCATCTTAGAATTCACTAGTTACTTGCTTACTGACAAGTAGTGTGTAGTTTGCATGATGATTATGCGAAAAAAAATATCCAAACACTTACACACAAAAGAAATGTTAATGGTTATTCTCTTAAAATGATAGAATTGTGAATTATTTCTTTCATCATATTTTCCTAGCCTTTTATATATCCTCTAAGTAAAGTTGCTTTTCACAATAAAGCATGATGTCTGTGAAAAGAAAGGAATAATAACCTCAGCTTCTAAAACCCAAGTTGGTCCTTCAAAAAAGGGACAGATCAGGTAAACTGACAAGGGACAAGGATGCCAAAAGAAACAAAGAAAATAAGTAGAATATGCTTATTTATGAGACAATCTTTATTTATAGGCATCCCTGTGGAATTGTGTAGGTATTGTATCTCCCCATCTAACTAAAATTTGTAACAAACTCTAAGTAGGGATGCTAAATACAGTTATGTATTGTCCTTAGGTTGTACATTTGGCCAATCCGTAGCAACTAAAAATGCCTCTTCTAAAACATTACTGTTTCATTATTCAATGGTACATCTAAGTTTGTTTCTTCTCTTTGGATTTGAAAAGAAAATAATGTGTGTGCTTTCAATGAAAGAAGGATTACTTGTCCTGTACATTTCAGTTGGAAGAGGGATGCTGGAAGAGCTACCTTTAATTTTTAAACACATATTCAGTACAACAATCCTCAAGTGGTAATCATCAGATATCTATTTTGCTGGACACAGAAAATACGAAATGACTGAATCAATGCTCACACTCAACCCTGAGAAGTCACCTGGGGAACTGTGAAGACAAGAAGCCAAAGTTTTCTGTGCTGTCTCTCCATCTTACTTTATAATATGTATATTGATCTAGGGATTCTATTTAATATTTTACTTGAAGAAGCATCCCTCTACTTATTTTTACCTTATTGCTTTTCCCCACATCTCCAGAATTCTTTTCCTTCTTATTCTATTCATTCTTCAAAGCACTCCTCAAATTACACTCACTCCCTTAAATAAAGTCTCTTTCATCCTTTGTCACTCATGCTTATCTAAAGCTCTCTGACAGACATCTGAGTTTATGGTCAGTTCCAACATTGTGATTTTTTTTTTTTTGACTACTGTGAATGAATTTGTTTCCCTGAGCATACCAAAAAATGTCTTTTAGTCCTTACTTAGATGTCACATTTTATAACACATCAATGTATTGACTATCCAGCTTACAATACAAAAACATTTTTTTAAAAAAACTGAAAACACAGCTTCTGACTCAATATAGTGATATTTGCCTCATATGTGCATAGTAAAATGCAGTTTCTGAACCATTGTGGTTCTTCTTCTCTGCTCCAAGTTTTTGGGACCTAGGAAAGTGTTAGCCCCACTTAACTATTTAATACCTATTTTGGTGTTTTAATTTGGGGCTATGTCATCTTTAGCAGTAGAGAGCATTACTGTTCTCAATAGCAGAGTAATTCTCCATTCAGAAAGATCCGTCTTATTCATTCTATCATATTGTACAACAAACAAATAACTTTGGATTTCCTCATATAAGTGTCCTCACAAATGATGCAACCATTTTCCTTATTATTTATAAATTATCATTAGTAACTGTATGTTTTTTTTTAAGGTCCTCCTGGACCCCCAGGTGAAAAAGGCGACAGAGGTTCGATTGGAGAGAGTGGCCAGCCTGGCATTCCGGGTCCAATAGGTACGGTCATTATAACTACTCAATCATCTAACATAAGGCTCAGTTGTACATCTATGAACGTGTGCAGGTGGAATAATTATTTTGTGTACTGTGGTTTCTGCAAGCGCACATATTGAAGGAGATATTATATGTTCTAGTCAAAATAATCATATATCAGCTGGGTGTGTTGGTGAATGCCTATGCTCTCAGCAACTCAGGAGGCTGAGGCAGAAGGGTCATAAATTCAAAAGCCAGCCTCAGCAAAAGTGAGGCACTAAACAACTCTGTGAGACCCTGTCTCTAAATAAAAATACAAAATAGTGGTGGGGATATGTCTCAGTGGTTAAGTGTGCCTGAGTTTAAGCCCCCCCAAAATAATCATATATAAATATATGTGTGTGTTTTTATATATATATATTCCTATCTGAGATTGAATGACAAGAGGTGACTTGATTTTTTAAAACAAAATTAAGTGCTTTAGCCAGAGTCACTCCTGGAATTATTCATGAGTCGAAGGGTATCATCTCTGTCATGGACAGCAAATAATATATTGCACAGCTAACTTCAGGTCACATATGAAGAATTTTAAAAAATCATCTTTGCATTGCATAAATTTGCAAGATCTTGTTTTTAAGATACAACAATATCTTAATATGAGTCAAGGAAAACTTGAGTGTCTTTCTTATGTAATCTTTGACCAGACTATATCTGCTTAAATTCACGAAATGTGAAAGCAAATATTGGCTGGAATGAAGGTGAATTTTACCTTTGCTGTTGGCCACTCTCTGTATTTTAGTTACAGCAATATTATTTTACATCATTTCTCTCTATGTTGTAATCTTGAAAGCAATATTTTGAAAGAAGATAATAGAAAACACAGAAAAGGAGAGAGAGAGAGCGAGCAAGCATGAACTTTCTTTGCTCTTAATAAAATGAAAAAAAAAAAAAGAAAATAACAATAGCATGATTGTCCTACTTCACTTGGCTAGAAATCAAACACCCTACATGCTGTTTGAAAGTAGAGAATATAATGCATGGCCTAATTATAACTAAAATGATTTGTGCTGCCAAATTTATCAAAATACCTTGTAATTCATCCTGTTTCTCTGTGTTTTGACAGATCAATGTATCGATTAACCCTGGTTACATAAGAAAAACATTTTTTTAAAAATTTGACACTTAACTTACCTTTAATATTATGCTTAAAAATCAATATATACAGTTTATATTTTTAAAATATTTTAAAGACTCTCTTGCCACGTTTTATTGTGTTTATCCTCTGTGTGTGTGTGTGTGTGTGTGTGTGTACCAGTGGGTTGGTGTTGATGTGCCTTTGAAAGTGATATCAGGTAAGAATTTTTACTCAGAAAGATTCTTCTAGTTGACTAGTGCTCAGCAGATCTTAACAATGGTACATTAATGTCTTAAGCAGGGGAAGTTACCAGCTTTATAGCAGCTGCCAGAGCTACTGTTGTCAAGGATCTGTGGGCTCCTTTATTACAAACTGCAATGGTCAAAGCTTTATAAATCAACCAAAACCTTCAGTCTGTGCTACAGTTTGCTGCTCCAGACTTCATCTTGGGCAGCATCTTTTGAAGCTCATTCTGTGGATACTTAAGACAGAAAGAGGGATTTAAGTTTCCAGTTTCACTAATGCCATAGGCAACATCACAAAGCTTCTTGGATTCAGTTAGCCAGGGCTCAGTTTGGTTTAGCTGTTACTGCTTATTTCCACAAATAGGTATTGCCCAGTTCTCTCATTAATTAGAATTAGACATAGTTGTTGCTGTGATAAATCAGCTGTTTTAGGCTATCAGATTGTCATTTGGCTTCATTCATGGCAACAAAACTTTTCAAATTATGAAACATCTCTCCTAATGGATTCTTCCAAACTTAATTGCTGTATTCTCTCTAGACTCTGCTGGATTATCTAATTGCTTCAAATCTGACACTGAGATCAGGAACTAAAGACTGCATGGTAGACAGTCACAAAAATTCTGCTCTCTGAATTGAGGAAGTTCATAAAATCCCCTACCTATATGCACTAAACTTAGCTAGACAAAGTCAACACCTACACTCACAACTGTGATATGAATATCTGAGAAATTTAAGTGGTCATCAGAGTGGTCTTAAGTAACCAATACATCAAATACATCATATTTATCAGTCATGCACTAGAGTGGATATTAAAATAAAATATTCTTTAACTCAAAATAATATAATAGAAATTAATTTTAAGGTGCTAATTCCTTGGAAGCACACAGAAAGTGTGATCTCTCCCTTTCACCTGAAAAATTCTATACTGAGCACCTTTTCCATACCTGGGGTTCTGCAGTACATTGTGGAGGAAACAGAAATTGTGCTAACTTCACAGAGCTTACAATATGAGTAATTTTATCAGGGAGATGATCAAGGATTCTTGATCTTATCCTTTTGAAAACCAGATTTATGGTCATTCTTTCATGACAATAATGCTCAAAGTTTCCTTAGTTTCCAAAGGAAAATTTGTAGGCCAGGTAATGGAATATTTACACTCAGTGGAAAAATAGCAAGGTAGCCTGACCTATAGACACAGGAAGGGATCCCTCCAAATGATGCTTTGAGAGAGAACTTAAGTCTCCACTGGGCACAAAATTTTCATCATCCACCAGTGCTATGTATTTTTCTTGTATAGCCTAAGTTTTCCACCAAGGGAATCAAGCTCCTATAGTAGAAAATTGAGTCTACCTTGATTGTGGATGTTGGGAGATGGGAACCATATTTTATTAATATTTATATTCATATATTTCTCTACTTCCACTCCAACCCTTTTTCCCTGTTGCACTCCAGCAAGGGCTTTCCCTCAGGCTTCAACAAAGACAGAATTCCTAAATACATGTTGAGTAGGGAACTTTGCCAGCTGCAGGCTGTCTCTCTGTATGCTGAGTATTGAAAGCAGATTTCTTATGGAGGTTAAAGATAGTGTTGATAAATCCAACAATGCCACTAATAATTGTGTACATATTATTAAATATAACTAAATTAGCAGCCTTCACAAAATGTTGGTGAAAATAATGATTTTGTTACGGGAGGAGAGAAAGAATGAAGAGGAGGAGGAGGAGGTGGAGTAAAAGAAGGAGAAGGAAGGCTAACATGAAGTGTTCATTATATGATAGACTCTTTTCTAAGTGTTTTTTTATATTTATTACTTCTAGCCATCACATTTGTCTGTGATGGACAGACAAATAATAATAAGCCTATTAAACAGAAGGACAGGGAGGCTAAAATGTCTCACTCAAGGTCAATGAACAGCAGATAAATGCCAGAAATGGCATTTGAACCCTAGTGAGCACAATGGCAGAAAGAAGCCTGAATGGAGAGCTGAGAATCCAGGATATATGTGAATAATTATCAGGCCAACTTTATGCAAGTGAGTTGAACTCTGAAGTTCTGTGTCATTGCACTTACGTTGTTTGTGAGTTAGAAGCTGGCACAGAATCTTAAAGAAAATTAGCTGAATGCTACCAGAAAGGCTCAGAGAATCCAGTCTCCTGGAATAAAACTCAACAGTGGAGTTTATGGTTAGGGGCCATATTTCAAACCAACAAGTCACATAACTCTCTCTACCGTATAGAATCTGCTTCAACTTTTCCCATAATGGTCTAAGCATTGATTGATTTCTATGAAAATATCCCATGAGCTTCATTGGGGAGTGTATTTGTTCACTTGTTGAAAAGGTACCATAAATCCAACAGCTGCATTCTGAGTGTTACTGTGCTACAATCAATGAGCCATCATCAGAGAGGTCCCTGCTCTCCTTCTCTAAAGAAGATCCCAAGGCATTGTAGATGACAGCGCTTAGGTTTTCCCAAATTACCTTCTTTATTTATTTGTTGCTTATCTCACCATCTGTCTCTCCCTACTGTGTCACCACATTGGAAGATCTTTTTGGATAAGGATATTTTAAACTCTAAGAATATGCAGAGACTGGCACAGTATGTGTGCTCAATAGATATTTGTTCACTTAATGGAAAAAAAACGGTGGAAATAGGAATTACTTGTGAACAGTACACTATTAAGATTCAGAAAATATTTAATTTTTTTTAAATGAGAGAATTTAGTGTCAGTGCTTCTTTTATTTTTTTATTTGTTCTGTTTAGTTATGCATGACAGTAGAGTGTATTCTGACATATCATACATACATGGATTATAACTTCCCATTCTGTGGTTGTACATGATGTGAAGTTACACTGGTCATGTATTCATATATGAACATAGGGAAGTTAGGTCTGATTCCTTCTACTGTCTTTTCTATTCCTATTTTTCCCTTTCCCCCCATTCCCTCATATGCAATTGGTGAACCTTCTAATTAAAACCCCTGCCCCCTATTGTTAGTTAGAATCCCCTAGCAGATAATAACTGCTAATTCAGAGGTATGACTATAGTGAAGGAAGGTATAAATATATATCAGGTTGCCCTGAGAATATGTTAGACTTTTTTAGACAGTATGATAAAAAAATCCAACCAATATATACTACAAAATATATAAAACATATTATATATATAATTATGTAAACAAATTAGTATATATTGAGTAATTAAGTTAATTCTTTTAAAACATATGCTTAATTTCTGATGGAATCAAAGTTTTACAATGAGTTGAATATTATTTCTTACTATTTATAATAATATATTTAAACTGAACATTTCTTAGGGACAGCCAAATTTGGGGTGTCTGTGTGAATGAATCTCAAGAAATGATTTTTAAAATAAATTAAATATGTATAAATTCTTCCTCCTGAATCCTGTGAACTAAAGGCAATATTCTAAAAGGTTGATACTAGAGAAAGAAATTAATCAAGCCTCTTTTAATGTGGCTCCCTAAAAGATTCAACTGAAAATTGAATTAATGGAATCTCTATGAATGGATAATTACACTTAAAATAAGAAAATAAGACATAAACTATTTTATGTTAGTTTGTTTCAATCACTGAACTCTAGGATGAAAAATTTTATTCCAGAAGAATATAATATTTTATTCCATAGGCTTTCATGGCCACCATAGATATGGGGTAAAAATAATGGCCACTTCAATTTTAACTTAAGTATATAAAAGCTTTGACTTATATATGTATATACTATATACTCATAAATAAGTCTGTGTGTGTGTGTGTGTGTGTGTGTGTGTGTGTGTTTACATTATATGGGATTATAATGGAATATGTAAGAACATGTCTAAGAGACATGAAGCAGTTAACTGAAGAACTAGTACTCCAATTTTTAAATAAATATCCTTTGATAATTTTCATTGCTTGAGTTTTAATTTTTCTAAGACAAATCTTATAAATTCAATTTTTAGAAAATCATCATTTCAGTTAGAGCAAAATGTGTCATTTAAAAAGATTCCTGATTAATTACATAAACCTTCTAATTAAAACTCCAAGTTTTTTTATTGTATGTTTTTACTTCTAACATTATGTTATTTGTTGAATATCTGAAATGTATTAAATGCACTAATGTTTAGACCTATTTTATCTTTCAGTGGCACAAGTGAAATTTTAGAAAAGAAACTATCCTCAATTGGAGATTCACTTATTTCATATTCATTTATAATACCCTCAAAACTATGTAAACAATGAACTGTTAACCACTTTCTTTTTCATTAACCGTGCAGGTCCTCCAGGTCTTAAAGGTGATCGGGGGGCAACTGGCTTTCCTGGCACAAGGGGACTCCCAGGATTTACAGGAAAGGCGGGGAGGACAGGTACTTTAATACTGTGCATTCTGCTATCAAATATGCAAATAAACATCAGATCATCATTTCTGAAAATTTCTTGGACAACAAAAAAATGCTCATCATAATAGGAATAGTAGCACACACATGTCGTTTATTTTGTGGTCGGAAAATTTTTTGAAGCTGGTTTCTGTCCACCTGAGGAAAGCTTCTGTGTCCTGAAGGAAAATAGTTTAAAAACACATACACACACAAAGGATTTATGCACTCTATACAATCATAAGTCACCATGAAGAATGGTATCTATCTTAGAGCAAACAGAGTGGAAAGACTGGCAAAGAAAAACAAACTAGCAAAATATAAATACCCCTGTAACCACAACTGGCCAAACTCTGTTAAGACACAGTTGGCAAAATGCTGAAATCTTATTTCATGTGCAATAAACTTCTTGCAATATTTATTAATCCTTAATAATCAACACGGTCTAGCTCTTTAACATTTATACAAATGACAACAGTATTTCCACCAATGAGGCCAATAGCCTAAGCTTGGACACTGTACTCTGCATAGCAATTTTAGAAGAAAGTAAGCCTAATTTTTTTGTAATATCAATGTAAATTATTACCAAGAGAAAAAGATCTCTATTGTTGATCTAATTTTTAACATTTTATTTTTAGAGCAGTTTTGGGTTTATAGGAAAATCACACAGAAAACATAGAACTCCAATGTATCACCACACATTTTCTCCCATATTAACATCTTGAATCAGTATGATAAATTTGTAATGATAAATAAACTAGTATTGATACATTATCATTAACTAAAGTTTTACATTAGGGTTCACTGTTTGTGTTTTTCATTTTATGTGTTTTAGCAAGTGTATAGTGTCATGTGTCCATCATTGCCATATGTCCATCCTACAGTATATTTTCACTGCCCTAAAGATCCCCTATCTTCCATCTGCTCATCACTACCCTCTGACATGGGCCAAGCCCTTAGAGACCATTGATCTTTATACTATCTCCATAGTTTTGCCTTTTACAGTGTCATACAGCTGGCAACAAGCAGTATGTTGTCTTTTCAGACAAGCTTCCTCCACATAGCAAGATGTATTTAAGGTTTCTCTCCATATTTTCATTACCTGTTTGTTCATTTCTCTTTATTATTCAATGATATTGCATTTTATGGATTTATCATAATTGGTTTATCCTTTTACCTAAAGAAATAAATCTTGGTTTCTTCCAAGTTTCAGCAACTATTAATAAAACCACTCAAACCTTTTATTAGCATGTATTTTCATGGACCAAAGTCTATCTAGGAGTATATTTACTAGATTGCATGGCAAACATATTTAGTTTTGAAAGAAGCAGCTGAACTGCCTTCTAAAGTGACTCTACTGTTTTGCATTCCTACCAATGAATTAAGAATTTCTGTTGTGCCACTTGCTCACTGACATTAGGTATCATCAGTGCTTTGGATTTTAGAAGTTCTAAGAAATGTGTTGCAGTGTTGCTGATGACATCAGTGTATATGACAGCCACAAATAAGCAACCTGTAATTAGTCTCCACTAGAGATGTGATTATCTGAAATGAGTGGTGTGTTTATGTATAAACTACCTCTAAACCATCTACCTTTAATCAGGCTTTTTGGGCAATATAGGAAGAAGTGTGTGTTCGTAATTTGTTTAAAATTATCTACAACATCAGGGATCTCATTTCCAATATGGGCAATTTGAATTCAATAGACAAATATATTTAGAACCTTAAATTTGATGCAATTTCAAAGCTACTTATAGTTGCAAGATAATTTAAAATAATTTTGTGAAAAAAGAAGAAATAATATAACTTTACTGTAAACTTAAAGTAAAAATGAATCTATTTGTCTATGATCCATCTGAAATAGTAATGGTCATTTAGCTTCCCAGGAAAACTCAAAATAAAGTTTTGTTTTGGAATCTTTTTATACTTTCCTAGTTTTATAAAGCTACAAATTAACATTAAAACAAATATACAAGACATAGCTGTGCAAAAAGACTTTCAAGAATGATGCACAGTCTTTTTCTCTTTCCTAATTGTGAAATTAATGCTGAAGTAATGAAATTAAGCAGTATAATTTTATATTATCTTCTCTGTAAAGAATTAGTACTGATTAATTGCATCTTGTTTTAACTCTCTAGACCATTTTTTTCCTTTAATTTCTTAGATTTTTCCTCTTGAACATCTGAAAATTTGGCCCTATGACAAATTTAGGTCAAAAAGATAAGAGAGGTTTGGTAGGCTTTGGGTTACTTAATGATTTTTGTTTTGCCAATTTAATACTACTTGAAATTATTCAATCAAAATTATGAAGTTAATTTAATGATACAGAATAAAATAATAATATGTAAATTAATTCAAAACCAAGAAATTCTCTTTATATTATTCTAATAAGAATAGTTGGGCTTTCATTATATCTTCAAAATAAAATTCAATTGGAAATAATTTGTACATTTTAAGTGCTTCAAGTCTTATACTCATTACCTATTACATTTTTAAAGATTTGGTATGTTAGAGGTCAGAAGAAATCTTCTCTAAATGGCAAATAAAGACAAATGTCCAAAAATAAGCACAGATGTAGACAAAATAAATTAGAGAAATCAACAGTTAATCAATAAATTAATATTACAACTTTAAATGAAAATTTAAAAAGTATACCATAAAAATTGAATTGAGATGAAAAGATCTTTGTCTTTCATTCATTGAGAATAAAACTTCAGGCATCAGATTCTAGCTAAACTATGGGAGATTTTAAAAAAAAAGGAAATAATAATAGAGGAACTCCCTTCTCTTATGAACAAGTGCTTTGCAAATATTGTTACTCATTTTCAAGGCAACTCTCCAATGAAAGATTTATTTTTTTAAATTTCACAGAAGAATATGCTTTAGCTCTAAAAGTTGAAAGACTGTCGTCAGCCACATTTCTATTAAGTGACAGAGCAGACTAAGTCAATATAGAGGTATTTAAACCATTAGAGTCATTCAAAATTCTGTTGTTTTTAAACTACATCCCCTAGTGTCTACATCCCATAATGTATTTTGGATGGAATTATGGAGATTCTTGATTTTGTAGGGGGAAATAAAAAATGCTAACAAAATTTTGATCTTCAGCCAGAAATCATTAGAATCAGTCCTGTGTTTATGCAAGAAGGTAATTCCTTAGAAGATAGATATATGATGCCTGTTGGAAGAATTAATAATCAAGAGCAGTGCTACTGTCATGAAGTTTCACCATAAAAATCACTTGTTAGTACTAAAGAATGTTTTCCTGAGTATCCTTTAAAAATGTAACTGTGTGTGAATTAGCAAATCATTAGCAAAGATCAAGGTCTAGCAATATTTCCAGGTCTATTTAAATCTTTGCCCCTTATAAAATGATAATGTTTGTACTACATCTTTATGTAAATGGATGCTGGTTTTTGAAGTCAAAAGTGACCAGCCTAGTGGTTCATATGGTGCACAGACCTTTTTGCCTTCTGTCAGGAACCAGGTTGTCAGAATCTCAACACTCTCAGCAATCCATCCACAGTCTAGTGCTTTGGCTGCTAAGTCAGAAAGGAATGGAAAATGAGATAGGTAAATTATAATAGGAAAAAAAAAAAAGGTTTAGGATAAGGTGGAAGATACTGGGCTTCCCCAGGATGGTAGGGAGGCACAGTCAGATGAAAAGAAAAACATAAGAATGAATAAGTACAAAATAAACTATTTACACATCAGCTTTGCTTGTTTTACAAAAGTGGAATATGCATCAGCTTTGTAATAATTTGAGGTAGTATACCAGGTTTGCATTAGGTTTTCAAAAGTGATGCAATTGTTATTATTATTAATATCTGCATAATTATTATTTTGCATTATCTATAGGTTGCTATACATTGATATTTTAGATTAACTGGTGATGTCCTATCTCCATTTAAAGCAGCATTGTTGGGGCTGGAGGTGCACTCAGTGAGGGTGTGTGCTTAGTACCAAAAAAAAAAAAAAACAATTTCTTTTTTTTTGTTATTGTTTTTTAAAGGAAATCCTGGACAAAAAGGCCAAAAGGGAGAAAAAGGAAGTGGAAGCACATACAGTAAGTTTATAGTTTCTGTATGCATTTTTGTAATCAATAAGATTGTGATATTGGTGGTCTGAGCTTGAGACAAACTTTGAGAAATTCAGCATTGATCCATGGAGAGTCTGTGGAAGCCAGCCACAGTTTTCTACAAATAAAACATGCTAATTGGAGTAAAACAAATAGATGAGATTATGCAACTCTTTCAATCTCATTACCCATTTGTATTCTGTTTTTGTGATGAGTACTATTTTCTAAAAATTCCACATAGAAAATTGTTCAATTCTCAAGTCAATTTCTATCCACTGAGGGAAAATCAAGCTTATGAATAGAAACAATTACAGCCTCCTTACCTACTAAAACTGAGCTAACTGAAACCTTATATGTAGGAATTTAGACAGCCCAAGAACCCTGACAGATTAATTCTCTGAAGGCTGTGTTGGTCAGGGGCTGAGGAGGGGTGTTTTGTTTTGTTTTACTGAAACCTTGAAAAGGTCACATTCCATATTCTAGACTTTAAGACCTTCAACAGAATAGATTTAGCAGCTGGGATCTTTGTCAGTGGAATGCAGGCCCCAGGTTGCCATGTAGAGAATCTATAAAATGGACCTCAAAAAATAAGCTCATCTTATTGTTAAACGAAACGTTTAACAATATTATTATTATTATTAATATTAATAATATTATTTTAACAAAATTATTATGCATTATTTCTTGTGTGTCTAGGTGAAAGCTTCATTAATACAATGAAAGGGTTATGAAGAGGAACGAGGCTTCTTTACCATTAGGAGTGCATGTAGTGTGTGTGTGTGTGTGTGTGTGTGTGTGTGTGAGAGAGAGAGAGAGAGAGAGAGAGAGAGAGAGAGAGAGAACAGCTGATGTGAACAGAGTTATAGTCTATTCAGGGGTGCATGTTAGACAGATTATAGCAAATCCTTTGATGTACCAAAATCTTGCAATTTTTAGTTGTAATGCTTGTTTTAAAAAATTCAGTACCAGTATATCTCTGCTTTCACAAAAAATGATTTTTAACCTAATACCATGTATGGCTGGCACATTTAGACAATGTAGGGTTATGATTGTGAATAGCAGCCAATAGCAGGATCTTTCGAAGTTGAACAACTCAGAATATTGTGTATCTCTTAGAGTGTTTGGTATTAGCGGTATTATCATTTTTATGATTATATTAAGATAACGGGAGCATTAGTATATTTTTTTGTGTTCTCTTTTTTGTGTATTTTTCCTTTAAGATGGTCACTTTTACACAAAATTCTTCTTATTCTCCTTTGTCCTTTTCCTCCATTTAAGTTCAGTTGAGCTCCACTTGTCAGTCTCTCTTCCCCAGCTTTATGTGTATCTTTATCTCTACCTTTACTTTTTTTTGTCTTTATTTTCTTTCCCTGAGGCTTTCTCTGAGCTTCTAAACACTCACTCTAGTTGAGTTTAGAAACTAAGGAACTTATTTATTTATTTATTTTGTCTGTAAACTGAACAGTCACACTGTCTACTGTTACCTGGGGTTATCAAATGGTTGGAAGATTTTTTTTCAACTATGTTTGGAAATGATGTCAGTTACAGATTTTTCAGGGCTATTTTGGAGTTTATGTGCATACTTTCTTTGACAAATCCATAGAGGGCTACTTATGTACATATGTGTACATAAACTTCATATTCCTCTCTGTGCCTACCCCAAAGAATATATATAACAAATTCAGAATATTTTGAAAAGGAAGAATCATTTACACGTACATCTAATATAAAATGTTCTATATTTTTCATGTTTAATTTGATGTGTCTGTCATCTGTCTTTGTCACTATATACGGCTCTCTTTCCTCTGAAGGACTACACATTACTCCAATATTCAGCTGTTCCATAATTATCATAATAGAGTCATTCAGTCCCTAATCTTGAACCCTCAATTTTGTTTGGCTTTAATACATAATGCTAATATTCAACAACTTCGTACATGATATTGTGAGGATAATTTTTAATATAGGATTTACTCAAAGTAGAATCAATAGGTCAAAGGTTATATGCATATTTTTACAATTTGATTAATTCTAACAAATGGCTTCATAAAGTTGTACCAACTTATGCTGAATAAAAATAACTTGCTCCCCACATAATTAATTAACTGTGGTATATGAAAGGATCATATTGAATTATTTTAATATATATTTGTGTATGTTTCAAACACAATTTAAATGTAATAAAAATAACCATTGATTTCCTCTTTTATGTATATGTCAGGACCAGTACAACTTCCTGATCATATTAGGGGAAGACCCTTTTAAGATCAGGTGGGTTGGGCAGGACACTCTCTGATTCCATCTAATTAAAAGGCCTTTCACCTCTGGACAAGTCATCAACACAACTGACTTCCAAGATTCCTTTTGTGACTCCTCCAAATGACCCTGGTTCCTGTGTCAAGCCTGGCTTCTACTGGCTTCTTCTCCTGATCCTTGGTGCTGATTGGGTCTCCACACTGCCACATTCATACATTCTCCACTCTCCTACCATCACCCCTATCCCCTTTGCACCCCTTGCCTGACTCTCCCATGCAGTGACTGGTGGGGTGCCCAGGCCCATCCTCAGGTACCAGACCAGCAGCCCTCTGCTGTTCACTCTCTTAGTCATGCTAATCCCTCTTTAATTCATCAGATCCTAAGGAGAATTGATCATATGAGAACTGATTATATGTGGTTCTTTAAGTTAAAAACATTATTCTCAACCAAGGTTAGGGATGGCATAGAAGAAAATCTATTCATTCATTCATTCATTCACTTAACATATGTTCACTGTATTCATCCAGAAACAGGATGTAACAACTAGTGAGATAGACATTGTCTCTGGCCTTGCAGAGATAATTGTGCCTGAGAGATTCAGACAAGCCGGCAATTATAACATACTAGAGCTCTATGGGGAAAGAACAGGACTTTATAAGTGTTCCGAGGAGATAAAGATTCCCTAGAATATTTAAAAAAAATAAATTGATTTAGTTTTCTTAGTTTACCTTCCTTTCTGATCTCCAGCTTATAGCATATTACTTTTCAAGTTTTTAAAAAGTAAGGTAATGTGGAGCTTTGGATAATTTATTCAACACATTTGAACCAAAATGCGTTTCCTTAAATTACCTATTTCAAACAAAAACATCTTACGCAATGATAAAACAATGCTGAAAAAAAAAATTATTACAACAAATATCTCTGTATTTTAAGCTTTAAGTATAGATTCTGGAGAAAGATAAATATTTTAGTAGAAGTAGAGTTATTTTGTGTAAGTGAAGAAGAGGAAGAAATTGAAGAAGTAGGAAAGGCAGACAAAAAAGTATTGGAAAAATGTGGGATGATCCCATGTTATTTTTTAGTGCCTCTGTACTGAGAAATGTGTGACCACATTTTCACACTCTCCTTTTCTTCGAGTTTTAACACACAGCCCCAAGGTTTACACCATTAAGGTTCTTGTAGAATTCCATGTAGTATGTCTATGTGTCTCTCTTCATTTCCTTTCCCTGCCCTTGTTAAACGGTCATGTTAACACCTACCTCACAGGGTTGTTGTGAGGACCATATGAGATATCCTGTGTGTGAAGATGCTCTGTAATATCATAAAGTGCTTTAAAATCATAAGATATGGTTCACAGTGGTCTCTCTGAACGGAAACTGCTGTTCCTCTCTGGTGTAATGCAGACGTTTTAAATCTGCAGTTGTAATAAGAGAGAAAGCAAAATGTAAATGCAGGGAGCTAAATAAATGTCATGGATGAAAAAAATGCTAGAGAATAAGACAAGATTTTATATAAGAGCAATGCAAGTGTGACCAGATCACAAATCAATGAGTCTGTGTAAAGAGCATTAGTTATAAATAAAAGAAATGACTACACAGAGTGCACACCAGAGGATGGAAGCTGTCAACAGAGATCAGAACAAAATGTCAGGAGAATAAAACAAGTATTCGGACTCTGAAAGACACAGCCTGAGCCCAGGATGCTTCTGTTGAGAACATTATAAGAAAGCAGGAACAAATTAGCGTTTCAATGAAACTGGTTTGTGTCTATTACTGTATGACCCCAGAATCTCCAGGGATGAAAGAAAGGGATGATTAGCCAATTTTTCAGAGTTCTCAGTATCAGCAAACCATCACCATTGAATAGCTAGTTAGTGCAAACATCTAGAGATAAATTGAGCCTCTGTCCATGGTTTAATTTGATGTGATTTCCTATCCCACATTTCACTAGAGGCCAGGTTGAGTGTGGGAGATGTCTCCTGCCACCAGGTCTTGATCCACCCTGGCTAGAGAATGACCCTGAACCCAGAGATCCTGGGAGGCAGTTCCAGGGGATTCAATTCACAAGTCATTGGATATCCCAGACTAAATATAGGTTTTTGAGACAAAAAATAGATGCTTTCCAGTCTGAATGCACCCACTTCACCAACTTTATCATTGTACAATGATAAGGAGTCTATACCAAACCCCAAGGTTGGTCTCAATGAATTGTTCAGTATGTTCTCACCCTAAATGAGAAGAACAAGTGTTTCAGTCAAGTGAAAGAATTCCTACCATTCAATTAAGCACTTTGTGAGGCTCTGTCCTACACAGTCACATTATGGAGGTGTGGTTTGTTAGTATCTTTTACTATGTTTTGCTCAGACCCAATGAGACTATAAGAATTTTGAGTATCTTATTCAGAATCTCATACAAAGAGAAGAAAAATTTATTTGTCTTTGGTTTCACTTCAATTGAGGACTCAGTTCAATCTCAAATTTCTCAAAGCACTCAGATCACTAATTTTAATCATGAACACTTAAGGGCACTGGCTGAACACCATGTGCTTTTGATACATCATTCTATCTAAATTTCAGAAGAGTGATCAGGGTAAGTACTATTAAGATCTCCATTTAATGGATTAAAAACTGAGGCCTACTGCTAATAAGTGGAAGAGCAGAAACTCAAGCCAAATCTATCATTCTCCAAAGTCCCTATGACTTTCATTCAACATCTCACACTAGTTTAAAATGTGTGTGTTTGTGTGTGTGTGTGTGTGTGTGTGCATATATACATGAATAAATAGTACAAATATTTAATAGGGAGTCTGTGGAAGGAGGGGAGAGAACAAGATTTGTAATGAGCAGTTGGATTTCCTAGAATAAGCTTTATAATTTGAGGGCTCTGAGAAGATATAAAGTCTTATAGTAGGTCAAATTCAAAAAAACCATTTTGATTAATCTTTATTTGCTTATGTTTCCACCTTTGTAACCGCTCTAGACATTGCCTGCAGTCTCTCCCCCAAGAATATTACTCAGAAGCATAGACTCCTACAATGCTCACAGGGCGTCCATTATCACTAATGAGAGTTACTTATGTGCACCTGGGGAAGAGCTACCTGTTAATATTCCATCTTGATTTCAGTAACTGGCTCAGTTTTAACATTTCTCAGTATCATTTGGCTGCTTTGATCTCTCTCTTCTTTTATTGTTTCTTTTTTTTAACTCCACAGTGTTCTTTCCTTAGTCGCACTAGTTATGAGCTAGCCGAGCAGAATATACCTGAGAGTAATGATGACTCTAGGTAAATTAGATAAATGCTACTAATTCTTGATGGTTATGTGGTGCTTAAAGCTTGCTGGGATTGCAAAAATTGTTGCTAAAGACATACAGCATTTCAGTAACACAATAGTTATGTTCTTTAATAGCATAAATATCCAATACGTCTTTAAATTTAAATGGATATTTAAATCAGTAATAGATCAAGCAGTTAGCACTTGTCCTATTTAGTTCCTACCCCAAATAACTCTTGCAGCCTGACTCACCAGAGTCAATTGGAAGGGAAAAAAAAATCAATACAGACCCATCCAGGTCTTTCGCACCAGCAAATTTGAAATTCATACAGTATGTGCAGGAAAGCAGATGGAGAAGAAATATCTGACACCCTGCTTCCCAGCCCTCCACAATCTCTGAGGACCAAAAAACTTTCTTGCCCCTCTCCAAAGATCTTCAAAGATCCTATTCTGCTGCAAGAAATTTAGCTTTACGTGAACTAACACAAGGTCATTTACTTTGTTCAAATTAAAGCGCCTTTGAGGATAGGTTCACAATCTATTATTTGGTCCCTTAACCTGCCATCTCTAGAAATGTGCTGCTCTCATAATGTGAATCTCAAGACCAAATTCCTTAGAACAACATAGATTGCTTGTACATGAAGTGTCCGGGAAATTCTTCCCATTACGACTTAACCAACAGACTCTTTGATTTTTCCCCGGTGCTACTGTTATTCTCTTTTTTTACGTCCCTGAAATCCTCCCATAATGCTTGATCCACTTCAAAGTCAAATACCTGAATCCCAGGGAAGTTAGAAAGCTGTTTACAAGATTCTAATGTGAATTCTTCAGCAAATGACCCTACTTCCTAATAATGTTTTGTATAAATCTGAATTTTCACTTCCCAGAAATGCTGACCGATAAAGCTGAATGTAAACATCCTTTTGTATGCACAACATTTTCACAAAAACTCCACATGGCATTCAGCATAATACCTCTGCCACCTGCAAAATGATTAGCTATCCTATCATGAAATATCCTCCACCCAGAACTCTTTCCTGTTATATTCTTAAATCTCATAATCAGTACATCAACTATACCCAAGGATGTAATTTCTGGGCACCAAAAGAAGAATAACATATTAATCATGGAGAGTAACCAGTTGAATAAATTATTATTAATGTATTCAGGTATTATTGAGGTAGTTAAGGTCCTTAATAAGTACTTCTGTAATTTTTAAATAGGACCTTCCTTCCTTCCTTCCTTCCTTCCTTCCTTCCTTCCTTCCTTCCTTCCTTCCTTCCTTCCTTCCTTTTCCATCATTAAGTTGGACCCATAGCTCTTAAATGAGAATTTTAAGTACTCATTTTTTTAAAAAACAAGATGTTTGTTGTGCTGAAATCACATCCTAGTTAGTATACTTGGTGCTGTAATTACCATCTATGAATTAAAGAAAATGTTTATATTTTCAACTTTATGCCACCCAGGTTCTCTATTGATCCTCTTTCTTTTTTTTTTTATTTTTTTATTTTATTTTTTTATTTTTTTTTATTGTTGGTCGTTCAAAACATTACACAGTTCTTAATACATCATCTTTCACAGTTTGATTCAAGTGGGTTATGAACTCCCAACTTTACCCCGTATACAGATTGCTGTTTCACATCAGTTACCCTTCCATTGATTGACATATTGCCTTTCTGATCCTCTTTCTTATAAATATTCCAAAATGCAAAACATAACTGAAAAGGGGGAAAGGAAATTTGTGTGAGTCTGGTTGTAATACCAAAACAGAACACCAAAAGTTGGTAGCTTAAATAACAAATTCATTTTCTCATGGATCTGGAGACTGGAAGTCCAGGACCCAGCTGCTGGCAGAGCTGCTCCCCACAAGGCATCTCTGCATGGCTTGCAGATGGCTGTCTTCTCACTGGGACCACATTTGGTGCTGTGAGTGCTGTACTTGTGTTTTTTCTCTGCTACAGCACAGATCCTACTGAATCTGAGCACCTTCCGGATGAATTCATATGATCTTACTTGCCTCTGTGAAATCCCTACTTCTAAATACACATTGAGAGGCAAGATATCAACATGTAGATTTGACAAGGACACAATTTAGTCCATTAGAAGAAGGTATCAAAATTGATCTTGTGTCTTGGACAGTTTCCTGTCTAAATTTTCTCAGCATAGGGCTGAGAAAATGTTTTGAAAAATGTTTCAAAGAAAATTTAGTTTTCTCTGCCTGTCTTTCTATCAATTTGTTCTTAAGAGAGTTTAAATTATACCATAAACAAATTCGAGGCATTCTGGTACATTTTATAGTTCTGAGAATAAGTTCACTTTTATTTGTTTCTGAGCAATATTATGTTTTCTCAGTTCACTGACATTCTTCTACATTATGGCATTTCATGAAATAAAAGTAAACAATATCCAATGTCGAAGCTATTAATGAAAAATAGAATGACCTTGGAAATCATTTATATTTTCCCCAAAATGATCACCACCAATGTATTTGTAAGAATAGATAAGTGGAAAATAATGAAAACATGGTCAATCAAGAAATAAAATGTGTTGGTTCATATGAATATTCCAAAATGCAAAACATAAATGAAAAGGGGGAAAGGAAATTGTGTTAGTCTACTTGTAATATCCAAACAGAACACAATAAGAAAGAAAGAAAGAGAGAGAGAAAGAAAGAAAGAAAGAGAAAGAGAGAAAGAAAGAATTAACTCTTTCAGAAAGAAAGAATTAACCTTTTCATAAGATGGGTTTTGCTTCAAGAATGGAAGGATCCAAGAGTTCAAATTAGATCATTTGGACTGAACCTCTGAAACTGTGCACTCTCTCTTTCTCTCTCTCTCTCTTTCTTACTTTTGTTTATTTTTCTTTAAAGAATGGTCTTGCTGTGTTTCTCAGGATGAACTGAAATTCCTGGGCTCAAACAATATTCCTGCCTCCTCCATTTCCTGAGTAGCTGGGGTTAGAAGCATATACTTCTGCTCCCACTTTTCTCCCTTACTCTTCATGTGTCACATTCATTGTCAGATAGGCTTTTGCTGAGCTGTCTTATCTTTACATTTAGCTGTGCCTGAGAAAA